AACTGTAAAGTAAGCCAGACAATCACAAGAGCAGGACTGTATTCCAGAAAACAGGGTTAACGTACCATCTGCTAAACCCTGAACTCTCCGTTGATCAACCCAAACCTTGCTTACTCGAGGTGTGCTGGATCCAAAAACTCATCCGGGAGTAAGTTCAGTCAACTCAGAGTAACTTTTAGGTACAACACATTTTAATGAAATCATTTACGTTTTTTTATTCACCTGTATGTAAGCACAGAGCAGTGTTAATGTTCAAACTGTGTATTTACAATGTTAAAGTGGAGGACAACAATAAATATTCTTATTAGGAATAAAACCGCCTGGTTTCTGAACTGTGCAGAGAACAGAACTGCTGTATTTTAATGTGGGTCATTATGGTGGTGCTTGGAGAGCCACATATTTTCTGAGGTTGTACTGGGTATAAAACGTTTGAGAACCGCTGGTTTAAGTAATAAATGTAGCCTAAATATCAGGTATTTGTTTAAATATTTGATGTATATATTTAATTAAATAATTAAATCTCACATTTTGTAAGATGGCATTATAAGCAATAAATGTTAACTGCAAACATATAGTGGAGAGTGCGTGTTGATTTGGTAGTTTGATTAATAGCTTTATATCAGATGATTTAATATGCCGAACCATTTGATCGTGTCTGTATCATAACCATAAGGTAACCTGTGTTAACTCTTCTTCATTCAAAGCTTCATAACATATAATCATCCCAGGTAATTATTAACAACTATTAACCCAAATAGTGTGAAATAACAGAATCAAAATGTATCAAAGTAGAATTGTGCAAGTTTGAAAGTTGAGACGTCCCGCATAAAAGGCTGGTCTACAGGAGACAGATTTGACATTCTGCAGGTATTTTGCTCATCCCTAAGTTCTGATCATTCATGTGTACTTTTTATTTCACTTACTTCATATTGTAATAATAATCAATACATGGCTAATTTAATGTCAGCATGAAATCCAGAATGACCCTATTTACTGTTTATTGTGCTGTTGATACTTTAATACTAAGCGTAACTATGAACAATAATAGTAGTGATAATTGACTGAACTTGACTGACAGTTTTATTCTGCTCAGAAATACTTTTGTACTGGTTTTACGAATTTTAGTCTTCAGAATGTCTTCTGCGTCATTCATTTCAATTACATAAATAACTCAGCAATTATGAAAGGTTTCTCTGTGTTTACAGTATATTTGATAGAGATACAGTATGTGTATTATGCAGCATGTAATGGCACAGCAGCGCCACCAGAGGCAGCAGAGCGCTGTGTTCAGTGTTGCTAATAGAGCCATTTTGCTGCTAGATTTACCTGGAAACTCTTCACAAATGTTGCCAAATAATCAAGTCTGCTGAAACCTCTTCTTCATGAGCTGACAGAAACATACAAACAGACACACATGAAGCAACAGACCGAATACAGGGCTGAATGTAAATGTGTGAATACAGGAGGAGCTCTGACATCACTGTAGTTCAGTCAGAGACTCAGAGAAAGTGAAACTAACTTGATCAACAACAATATGAACACCTGAAACCATCAAACTCTTTAAACAACAGAATATTGAGTCGTTCAAAGACCCTTGTGAACACATCTGATACTCACAGGTAAGTGCTAGAAATATAAGAGAGGTTGTCCTGAACAGGTTTCTAATGGCAGTGGTCTGGTTTAGTAGGGTTTATGTCAGACTGGACTGAGTTGAACAGAAGCAGGTTTAAGC